GAAAGAAAGAAAGACAAACAAAAGAGGTAGAAATAGTAAATGGAGAAGAGACTAGAGAAATGGGAGATGAAACAGAAGAGTTACTGCCATCGGGTAGGGAGATAATGTAGGAAACCCACCATCAAATTCCTTTGACAAGGACCATGTCTTTTGAAATGAAGGAAATGAGTTACAGACATGGGCAGTCAGTTTGTAAGGAATTTATCCCTGATTTTATGATAGCCTCGAGACGGGAAATCGTATCATTCAACCAAAACTGGGCAAGGGCGCTGGAGGCTGCGAGCATGATTCTACTTGTGAAAACTAAAACCTTCAAGAGGTTTGGAAAGCAGAAATACAGAGGCATCCGAGGGGACAGATCTCTGGGGAATCTGGAACCACACGTGGTGAAAGGTAACTCCACCGTCTACAACAGACATCAAAATCCATTTTCCCCATTTGAAATAATTAAACAGGTGGAGTATACAAGCGAAAGAGAAAAAAGCCGCCCCCAAATGCCCAGGGCAAATGCCTTGTTAGCCTTGCGGCGAACTGACAAGTTGGGCGGTCGGGCAGCGCTGGCGAGGGAGCACTTTCCCCTGAGCTGTCTGCTCATCTCCTTCGCACGCCGCAGAGTGATGCTGGGAGCCGGAATAAGGTGCGCGAGGAAGTTGAGCAGACAGTTCAGAGGAAAGTGCTCCCTCGCCAGCGCCGCCCGACCGCCCACCTGACCGACCGGCAGCCCCAGGGATAGGGAGAACCTAAAGGAAAGGAGGCTGGGGGGTTAAATAAATAATGGCGCGCATGGGGGGGGGATTTATGTATTGAGCAGTAAGTATGTGTGTGTGTGTATAGATATATGCATTAGGCAATGTGTGTGTGTGTAGATGTATGTATTAGGTAGCGTGCCTGTATGGATTTTTTTTTTTTTTATATAATAATTCTTTATTTTTCATTTTCATAGTTCAAGTAAACATTCTTAAAGAAAAAAGTAATTGGTTAGTTGGGTAAGAACAGTGGGGGTTAACATTGGGTTGTCTTCGGGTGGGTCTGGCACTTTCGTCTCCGATAGCGCGTGTTATACCTTCTGTCGTGGACCGCTGTGTGGCGGTGTCTTGTGCGGTCTCAGGTTGGGCAGTGGTCTGTTTTGTTGCCTGTTATGACTGAGGGAAGAGGTATAACTTGTGAATCTGCTGTGCCAGGGTTGTTAGTCCGAGTCTGTGGGGGGGGTTGGCTGGTTTAGGGGTTGCAGTCTTA